ATATTACTTTTTTTTTTTTTTTTTTTTGGAGGAAAAAAAATAAAATTTGGAGTAAAATCATTGCATCTATAATAAATTTTTTGTAAAACCATTGTATTTTGTATTTTGCATTGCTAATACATAAAGTTATAGTAAAATCATTGTATCTAATATGATATATCAAGAATAAATTTTACTTTGCATATATAAATTTATTTATTTTTCCAATTAAAGGACATATCCCCCGTACCTGTATCTAATTTTTAGATCCTTTTTCACAGATGGTTTTAGGATGCTAGAGTCGTGCCGGCTGTTGTTGCAAGACCATAAACATTTCCATCAACACAGCAGTAAATTTTCACTTTAATTTCCGACCACAAATTTTCAAACTTCTCACCATAAATGTCTATAAACCTCATTCCATATGTATACTTACAGCAGGCAAGAATATAAACATGTATTCAACCAATCAATTATCAACATCACTATGGATTCAATGTAGTTATAAAGTAGTATTGAAACCAAACATATTGTAAAGGTTGTGAACCACTATATGAAACTATAAGATAAAGAAAATTGTTTGCAGAAACTTTTTTGAGTGAGAAAAACAACCTGCTTCGCATATAGAGAGAGCAACAAGTTGTGAACTCCAGGATCCTCATTTTGCAAACGGTGAACGCAAAACTCCAGATATTTTATTACTTCATGGGTTTCATTCCTGTTTTATGGTATATGGTAACAAGAAAACTGATCACCATGACTTCTAACAGAATGAAAGACACGTAAAATGTATAATCCAATCAACAAAAAGGAAATAGATCCGATACAGATCCTACCAACTTATTAGCAGAAGGTATCCATCAATCATAACTCCTGCCTGATGATGTAAATGATGTAGCTGCCCTTGGTACATAAATATTAGTGTTTCATTGTGACTTTTGCAAATATTTCATTCTCTTCTATTCGTTCATACTATATATGTATATATATATATGCATATAAAAAAGAGAAAGAACAGGTAATTTAATAGAGTAGATGGTTCCAACATGTTTAAATCATAGCACAGATTACATCCAAACATTAATGTAATATTCACCAAATGAACTCACTGGAAATTAAAATTGTTTATGCTAGGTTTGGTGCCCTTCATGTTTGGGGGAACAAACAAGTATCTTGCACTGACTGAAAACCACTTTCTGGACCACAAAAGCAAATTATGTTCTGCATATATCCTTGAAAAGTACCACAATTGTAGAAAACAAGAAATAAAATCCTTAAAAAATCTAGTTTTTACCAAATGACCAACAATAGAAACTATCATCACAGCAGCAGATCAACTGTGCTGAATCCATGGGATAAGAAACCAAATGCATGGCAAAATGGTTTAAAACTTTAACTGCCAGTAATTGCAGCGCAATATATTGTATGTGCAACTGCATTTAGACTAACCATTGAAATAAACTAAAGTATGATATTATTCAACAATCAAATGATCATATCCACCTTTAACTAAATTCCTTAAATAGCTGGAGTATTGTAATGATTAAAGAAACACTTATAATTTCAACAAATAGCTGGAGTATTGTAATGATATTATGCTTTTAGTCTGATTTATTAAAAAACAACAATCTTTTGCTATAATTTCAAACTGGGTAGAACTTTACTTTGCATGAGGTTCGCTTGAATAACGCATCATTGCAGGAATTAACTTCCTTGGGTTCAGGTTTTTTGTTGTCATCCATGACTCCACAGTTTCATATGCATCAAGCATGATGAGGTCTGGAGCAAACTTGTACTGCATGGTAAACACAATCTGTTAACTTTCAACAATATAATGGTTTAACAGATTGTAGATGACCAGCTGTTTGCCTGTTGCAATATCATGTACACAAATAGCAGCTTTGGCAGTAAATGAAATAATAATAAGTAATAAAAGATGGCAAGTGAAGCTGTGGTCAGTCATTATTATACAAAATAAATAAATAAACAAAATTGCCCAACCTTGACTCAAATAATCGAGATTAGCCCCCTTACCTGAAGATCTATGGGTACAGCAGGTTTTTGAAGCACTTCCAATGCTTTCTTCGCTTCTCCTTGCTAAGCTCAGTACAAAAAAAGGGGGTAACAAAATGGAAGCTCAAATTAATAAAAAGAAGCAAATGGAGATTTTTGTGAAATTAGTAAGCGAACTGTGTAAAAGCCATATGAATCATTTCCCATTTACTTTTTTCATTTTCACCAAAAATTTAATATTAAAACAAGGTTATCTCCATATCATATGAATTTATGATAACAAGAATTGAGTTTCACCTAGAGCATGTCATTTTTGAATCACATGGAAAGTGGGGTTAACTAGGGGTAAAGTATGAAATTGGAACACACTTAAATTGAATTAGATATGGTTTCTCAAAAGTTACGATTTTATAAGAGCTTTTACAAAATTCATTGCCTTATTTTGTGTGTGTGGCTTTTGAAGGCTCTTGAAAACCAAACTTATTAATATGTTAGGCTTGTACGTAAAACTAAGGGTAAAATGGTAATTTGAACCCATGGCGTAAAATAGTAAATTTAGACTTGAGGGTTTTTGCATAATTATGTACATGGTAAAGTAGTTGAATGCATATAATTGGGCAGTTGGTGGGTATTTGAAATTTCACCGTGTTAAGGAACTTTAATTTTGAGTATGCACCTTAATAAAATTATAATGTTGATTTGAGAAATTCAATTTTGATTATGGACCTTACTAAAATGTTAATTCTTGAGTATGGACCTCACCAAAATGTATGAACACACATTATGTCATACTCCCAAATAAAAAGAAAATGGAATATCAAAGCACCTGGATATAATGATGAACCACAATCTCATATTGCCCCTTGAGACTCGCAAAATATACCAACTCATCAACTCTCCCATAACTGCAATAAATTGGAAAACAAAATAACTTTAAAAAAGATTAAAGTAAAACCATTTTAGCATACTTTGAAAGAAGAATATTGAGAAATAGTTACACATCTAAGTAATAAGCACTAGTGTTGTGCAATCACAATAATGCATCATAGACAGTAAGTCTTAGGAAACAATAACATAATGCTAAATTCCACATGTATGTCATACATGTAATCAGCTCAATAGGCAATAGACATCACAAGTAAAAAGGTTGGAAGCAATTACTCATTTAATTAAAAATAACTCCATCTATGTTAACTAAAAAAATAAGATCAAAAAGGGATAAATGAAAAGCATCATTCCAACTAGTACAGAAATTTATAACTCGTGAAAGTAGGAAAACAAAATTGGGAAGTGAAGCATGCCGAAGTCCAATTGCAAAAAATATTTTTCATCCATAAATTTCAAATGTCAAAAGAAAGTTTTCTTCTTCGTAATGGATAGTGGAACCATACTAATGAAACAATGAAGAAGAGCATGACATTCAAATTTATGAATCCCAATTAACAAGGAAGATTCCTACTCATGGATAAATTAACTAGACACATGCAGGATGATGTCACATAGTAAATGAAACTAAGGAATTAACACTAAATTAGAAATATGAAGAGAAGATAATGGTGCAGCCCATAATTGGATAGAAAATAATTATCCACTTTGTAAGCCTCAGTGAAGCTCACAAGCCCATTGCATGGAAAGACGACATTTTGGTCCAACAAATGATCACATTCGTGAAATGATAGGAGTAGCAACGGTTGAAGATAAATTAAAAACAACACACTAAGATGGTTCAGTCATGTATAATAAGATGGTTTGACCGGTAGATGCAATGAAAAGAAAGAATGATATGATCATTGTAAACACATAGCTGACCCCAATTAATTGGGGGAGAAGCTTTGGTTTTATTTGGTTTAGTTCATTGCATAGATGTGGGTTGTGCCAAGGTTACATACCCTAGCATTTTGTGACTATGGTATTGTGTTGTACACATCAGTTTTTGTTTTATATCAGTGGTACGTTTTATCCTTATTCAGTTTAATTATAGTTTAGTGATAAATTAAAGATAACAGGTGTTTGTCATGTCAAGTTATAGGAAAGGTGCTATCAAACCCCCAGGGATGGGACCTGACAAGGATATCTCAACATTACAACATAAAATTTACCTTTCTAAGAGGTTCATTGTAGTCGCCTCATCCAATACATCCTTGCAGTCACTAAGAAAAGCTCTAAACTCTTTGATGATTGAGTGGTAATCCGAACTATGATTCTCCAGAGCAGTGTCATCTTCAAGGAGAAGTCGATTGATCTAAAATAAAAATGTACAAACTAAAATTATCTTAAAATGGCCAATTGTCATGTATCTATGAATCACGAGTACTCCAAAAATGGTGACGTACGAGTACCGGGTACACGTGCTGGGTACGGCGAATACATGCTGGGTACAGCAAATACGTTTGGGTACGGCATGAGTATGTCGAGGTTTTTTTTTTTTTTTTTGGCAGCTGCTAGAATTTGTTGCAGCCTTTATTATTCTTCTTTCAACTTCGAAAATCATCAAGTAATTTATTTCCAACACCCTTTATCCATAAGTCATCGTTTTGCTCTCTTTTACATCATGTTTTAGACAATCAAAAAAGAAAAAGAAAAAGAAATAATTATATAATTTCTTAGACAAGCTGTTCTCTTTTTAGTTTTGATATTGAAACTTTGATTTATATGTTGGATGTTTAACTATAAATTAAATATAAAAAATAAAAATAAAAATTGGCGTACCGCAGTCGTACTCCGTACCTTATCTTTTTAAGAATTTGCCGTCTCAGCGTACCCATATCATACCTGTAACCGCACCCGTGCTTCATAGTCATGTAGTTTATGATAAACATGTTAAAAACACTCCAATAGATGTACAACTTGAGCACAATAATCACCAAATTTATTGCAACCACTGGCTTTGTTACACCCATGTGAGAAGAAGTCTTGTAGTGTAAGACATCAAATTAAAACAAAGCAGCAGAATAATAAGATAGATAAGTTATCTCATAAGAAAACCTTGTCCAAGTATAATTCAGTTGCCCATGTGGAAATCATAGTTATTTGGCATTTATCATCTTTTGAAAGATTATCAAGCTTCCGCAATAAGAAAGTTCTCAAAGCATCCTGCAAGGAAGTAAATATATATATATATATATTCAAAAACCACAAACCATATGAGCACATGGGTGCATAACTATTTAACATAAAAAATAAAGATAATCATGTTGGCTTCAAAGTCTTTATCTGATAATAAAAAGAAGTTTCACTTAAACCATAACACTATCAACCTGAACTTCAGGTAAGCAATGAAACAATTGACACTCCACATGTAGCCTCTTTTACCATATTGGACACCGTAATGTGCATGATAGTCAGACATGGATCTACATGGTAAAAGCTAGATATGGTAGTTGCAGCTATTTGAAATCGCCACATCAGACTTTTGAGAACATACGAGTCACCGGCACCCGCGATTATGAGTCACTACATAATGACGCAGTTTAAAAAGGCCAAACTAGCTAATTAACAAGAAGTATAGACTTGGCTTTTTCAAGCATATACGTGGCTATCCAAAAGGGAGCAACACTAGTCTAGTAAAGGCCAAGCTAACCAACAAATATAATCATCACTTGATATGTTCGAGGAAAAGCATAGATGTGAACAAGGAGAAGCTGCTATTGTGAAAAGAAATAGACAACACTATTTACGTATATGTGTATATATTCAACAAACTTAACATATTGTAGATCAAAACCTTACTTGAACAGGAACTTAGGGTTCGTTTGGGAGGTGGCTTTTTGGCTAAAATATGAGGTGAAAGTAAAGAAAGTGTTTGGGAATGGCTTTTTGGCTTCTTACCAAAAAAGGAGCAAAAAGTAGAGAGAAGGAAAGGAATCGTTGATTTCTTTTATATGGCTTTTTGGCTAATTTAGCCAATTGCCAAACGAGGCCTAATGTGGATTATGTATCAATATTGCAGTGGCTACAAATATATCAACAGCTCAAACAGAAAAACAATATTCCATGCTGTATGTTCTTTGCACATTACATAGAAAAATAAGTACTCTTCAGACGTGATCTTAGCAGATAATAAACACTTGAAAAGGCCACTGACATGATGAAAAGAAAGACCATCCAAAAGTGAAAAGACTCCACAAATTAAGCTCAAGTAGCCATGCAACAAAATCACATGAAACTCATGGGCTCCTAATTTAGTGACATAGTTGTTGAACTCAACTGAAAGCTTTAGCTGTTAGAAAGGGGTCATTTTATTGTATAATATATATATACACAAACACATATATCCTCAACACACCCCTCGTGTGACTGGACTCTCCTCCATAAAGATGCCAAACACATGCAAGTATTATATTTATTTGGTAAACAATGAAGTTTTAATACAATATCTATTGTATGCTCTGTGATACCATGTTGAATTGTTGACCACCAACTCATCTGAAAACTTAAGTTGCTAGAGAAAGGGTTGTTAGAGAGACGGGGGGGGGAGTATTTTATTATTTATATCCTCAATAATAGTATAAAGAAATTCAATAGTTTTAATACAGATTTGTAGTTCAACAAGTGTGTAATTGCAACACAATTTAACAGCCTTTGGCATGTCTATTTTTAGTCATAGTTAAATATAAGCAGTATGCACATAATTCTCAAAAGATGTTACAATGAGCATAAATTGAAGTAAAGCATCAAATATAACAAGGTCAAGAAGATTAAATCAAAAGATTTTAGTTGAGAACAAAATAATCTCATACACATAATAACAAAATATAGAGTAATTTTTACTTCTAAGCGCAGTATTGTTTTTTTATAACTAAATTTTATTTAAAGGCGGCACCAAGAGTGGCTCAACCTCAGTATATAGGATGTACACAAAGAAAGCCTAAAACCCATAATTAAAACAGAGCATATACGAAGCACAGTATTATCACTGAAAACAAGATGCACCTAAAGCTATACATGCAGCTGCCTATCAATCGTTTGTATGAACCTGCAATAACACATCTTTAGAAGGGTGAAAACAGAGGGTAAAATAACTTACCTGTTCATTTACGCAAATAAACTTCAAAGTGATCTCTTCAAATGATAATATGTAATAAATCTGCAAAATGCATTCACTTTTGTTAAAAAACTAGTCATCCTTCATTACATGAACAATATTACTCACTCAGATATTTACTTTAAATATATATGATAGTGACTTTCCAATGTGTATTTAAGTTCAAAAAGAAAGACGTGCAATAAGAAAACCCTTAAATATAGAAGCATAATAAAACCAAAACAAAATGGTAATTCACCTTTGCATAGAAAGATGCTGCCCTGAGGAAATCCTTGGCAGAAAATGCAGCTTCAGCCTGCATCATAAATAGCTCAGTGATGAACTAAAATAAATTCAAGTTGCATACGATTGTATGTGCCCATAATCTAACCAACAAAGTCAATAAGCCCAGACCTGTGCTAGATATACTTGATCTCTCTGGAATGGATCCCGACAATTTGCCAAAGCTGCCGCATACTCCTTTAAGTCCAGGTACACCTTCCACATATCTCGGCCTTCATCATTTACAGACACCTGCTTTACAATCTCAAATTCATCATATGGAAATTTATTGCCACAAGATACGGCTGCTACTATTTAAACATCCTGGTCATTGCATGTAGTATACAAAATTAGGAAAGATGTTAAACATCCTACACTATGTAAGGGGCCATTTAGCTGTTTCATTTTGTTTATCTGTGTATATCACTTGTTGTAAGGTATGCCCTATATGACCCTCTTGGATATGCCTTTTAAGATTTTTCTTACCTTGGACACTGACAGCACGTAGTGCATAGTTATATCACAAAACAATGAAATCATCCCAGCATACAAACCTGAAAAATGGAGTTCTGGTCAAATGCATAGAACAATCCAGCAGAGGCATCACTGCATAATCCAATAACACCCCTTGACATTGATTCTGGTGTTTCATCAAACTGAAGTTCCTCTATGATCTGTTCACTGATTCTATTTACAACCTAAAACACATAACAAAAACACAGCAAACATATCTATAATGTTGGAGAGCAGGGGAACTGATGAACAAATATTGAAGTCAGTTCCCAACTTGCCCATCATCATGGACGACGAAAATGGAACGTTCTCTAGGATCCATCAGCTAAAACTTTAATACCAGCAAATAATGAAGTTCAAATTTACAAAATTGACAAGAAAATTCAAAATCATGCATGTGTAATTGTAAATATATGTTTGTGTGCGTGCGCTGCACAGAAAGACCTACCTCAACCTTGTTTCCTAGGAGAAGCAGAAAATGAAATTCAGACACTGCCAGAGAATTGGGTTTAATAACTTCAGCAGCATCAACTAATTTTGAATAGTCCAAAAGACCCTTGTTCTCCACAAAATTTTCATTTCCTTCTGGTGAACTGCCCAAGAGGTTTCCCAAAAGATTTAATAAGAAAAATGCTTCATAAGAGAACTATACTATTACCACATAAGAATCAATACACTACAAGACCGAGGATGGACATAAAATGAACATTTTCTCAAGAGAGAGCAAAAGAAGTAGAGCCTAGTAAACAACAAATTCCAGAATTTATGCCTATTGTTCTGTTCACTAAAGGAAGCAAAAGTGATGAGACTTGAGAGTCATCTCCTACCTATGTTGTGCTCCAAAATTTAGGCCACCGTGATAGATACCGGCTCCAGAAAGCCATGCAAAATGTACAGCTCTTCTTTGCTTGATAAAGAAATGCAGTTCACTGCAAGATAGGCAAAAATGGACTAGATTTTCAAAATACAAGAATATGATTATGAGAACAATACATCCACCCAATATGTGTAAAATCATAATTAATTTGATTACAAAAAAGAGAATAAAACCATGCAACCTGTGTTCTTACCAATCAAATACCACACATGACACCAATTAAGATTCTATTTATTAGTAAGAATAGTGTATATCAATTATACAAACATGGCAAAAAAGACATGAGTCAATCTAAGTTTCACATAATATATAAAAAGGCCACCAACTTCATCAGGCAAATTCCCCAACCCACCCACCACCAACCCCAAAAAATTAAATGATTCCCCTCCATTAATCAAATGGTGAAGAAATGATATTCTGAGATGTGACTTCGAAGGAATGAAAAGAAAACCCTATTTTCCTGATTATTTCAAATTTAACAATATTCTCTATGTAACAGGTTCACTGAATTAACAAAACAAACCAACCGATACAATGAACAAGGCATGGTTTAGTGCACCACATTGAAACAACTGAAATAATCATACCAAGTTTGGCAACAACAATAAACCCTTTGGTTTAGCAACTACATCTGATAGATCATAAAAGTACTGTGGACAACCTAAATAAGGTGAAGCTACATGTAGTTCAACAAACTAGAGGCCCCATGCAATGTCTTGCAGCCAACAGTGCAGTGAGCTTTTTGTCAAAACTCAAAAATAACTTGTTAGTTCATGAATATTTGTAGATTTTAAACATCTGTATTTTGTACTCGATACATAATACCAATTTTCATGCATGCGTATGAATATATGGGATAGTAGTTGTCAATATACCTAATCTTAATATTTTTCTTGTTTCAAAAATGTATTATCTAGTTCTACAAGTTCCATGTGTCATAAATCTTCACTCCTTGTGTTTCCAATAGCATGAACATTTATGCGTGACAATTATGCCAAATGGATTACTTCTCATCAAGCTCCAAATGAAAAGACAAACTAGATTAATTTACAGTTCTCAATGTGTACAGTATATGTTTCATATCATTATCCAAGGCACTGCTGTCATTAACTAATTTTATCTATGTACTTTTTAGTAGCGTTTAAAACATGAACAAGCACAATGAGTTCATGGCAAAATAGGTGAAATGTAAATCCAAAGAAAATACAACAACAATAAAAGAAGCATCTAAAATTTATTATCTGTGTCCCAATAACTTGAACTTCATTATATCAAAAGCACTTGCCTATTTGGTATTTCCCCAGGAAGTTCCATAAAACGCACTGGACGATCAACATAACTAGCAAAAACAGTCTAGAAAATGCATTAAAATCAATAAGCATGAAATTTCAAAAAAAATGTATTAATCACAAAGAGCTATAAGACAAATAAAACATCATCTACAAAATAGGGACAAATGCAAGGAAGGATGCATTCCCAAGAACCACAAATATAGCCACCTAAATAGGTGAGCTACTGCAAAATTATGAGTTTAAAGCAACAATTAAATAAATTACTTAATGCAGCCTTACAGACCTAATAGATGGAGAAATGGATGCTTGGGAAGTGACCTTAAAAAATCCAAAGAGAATATATTAGTGTACCTCCCTATCAACTCCAAGCCTAACTGGGATGGGAGATTAAAGAACCTCAGAGCAAACACTTCACTACTTTCTATAAGTGAAATAGACACTTGACCTTCTGATTGCAAATTAGAGAAACATTGTTGAGGTATCAGGGCAAGATCTCATATAGACAAGCACCTAAGAGGAAGAGGGCTACGGGGTTTGGAAGCCTTGGTCAAGCCAAAGCCCCTTGATCCGCAGTCTCAACTACTTTGCCACTAATTTTCAATTCTCAACATATAAAATAACATCACAGAAACAGGATTTCTCTTTGTGAAGTTTGAAGACTCCCGATATTTAATATGTGGTCCAAAGGGGAATAACCTTGCATAATCATTTATAAAGCAATAAAAGGTTGAATGTTGACAAAAATATAACCCCTAAAAGGTTGAGCATAATCATAATCATTTCTTAGCATTTATAGAGCACTAGTTGAAGGTTGTCAAAAATATAACCTCTAAGAAAAATGTTAAAGAAAATAGAAAAGTTCTAACAAATTTATGCAGTGGTAAGAGAGAAAAATATATATTATTTAGCTCAATTAGAAATTGCTTCTCACATTGATGTAGGACACATAAATAAACAACATACACGGCAAGAGGTTTAGAATGGCCAAACCTAAGGAACGCAGGCAAAAGATCTAAGCTAATGAAATAGTATCAACACTAGGTCAAGAAGAAAGGAATTGATAAGGTCAATTTCTTGTTAACATGCATTATTCAAAGAAGACACTCGTGAGTTACTAATATGGGCTACCGAGTGCACCATCCGGCAGGCTTAAGAACATAAAAAACTGTGAACCAACTATACAGAGCTCTTAAATTCAACATCATGACATTCAGCACTAACTAAACCACTGGGAGTCCATACAAAGGCCAAATTCTATGGTAAAGAAGGTTGTAATAAATTAATAATAATCGGGCCATGATAGACTTTATGAAGTAACTTTAATTGCAGATATAAAAGGCACTAGAAGAAATTTAAAATATTGCAGATTTGACAGGCCCCTGCAGGAATACACGGACTTAATTAAACTCACATCCAGTGATCCAATGCCGCTGAAAGAATAAAGCCGCGTAGGAGTAACGGCCATCACGTAATATTTAGTTCCATTGCTTGTGCTAGCTGTCTCCATCTGCAAAAAAATACAAAAAAATTAAAATAAAATAAAGACAAAGGTAAGAAAAAGACATCACAGGCAAAACCCAAGTAAAACTCTAGCTGAGCTAGAGAGGGTAAAATAGTTAGTGAAGGTTAGTTTCTCAACAGCCACTTCACTAATCCAGTACATGCATGCTTATTTTTTCAAATGACCAATTCCATCAATCAGAAAATTTAACATTTTGTAGGAACATTAAAATACTCAAAGAAATCCATATAATCTGATAGAGAAACACCATATATAAACTGTATGGCTTTTAGCACCAACCATGTACATACTAAATCTTTAAGCAATTTAAAATATTGCTAAAAGTAAGTAAGCCTCCCCTAATACAGAGGAAAGCCCCAAGTAGCAGATTGGTATGTATCCCCAATGGAAAAGGACCAGAAGAGGTGAAATGTAGGGGAGGACCTGCAAACCCATGAATGCTTCTGGAAGTTCCTTAAGTTCAAATAGAAAATTTATGTGCTTCTCCTTCTTATCCTTCTCATCTACAGCAATTTCATGGAGTTGTCCATTATCTGTACCAAGAATAACTTCTCTTGTAGAAGCTGCAAAGACATCAAATACAACAGAAGAAATAAATTAATATGAAAAAAATCCCTCTAAAATATTAGCCAGTTTATAAAAGAGAGAGATGGCAGAGAAACCAAACACAAACCTTCTGTTATCTGTTGTCTATTCCAGGCAACAGCATTCACAACAAGACCCTTCAGTTTGCTTAAAACACGTGGCCTAATCCACTTAGCATGTGTATAAAATATATCTGCACCTCCACCGCCAACAATGGTAGCAATACAGTGGCTCCCCCCAGGATCAACAAAAACTCTGTGGATAGATTGCTCCCCAGCTCGACCCGTAGAGAGATCAATATCTATGAGTGAAATGATCAAGAAAATATAAGTTAAGTGTTGGATGCAGCCCAAGGTCTAGATCCCAACAGTTGCACAAAAGTCACCACATAAATTGCAATGTTGCATGTGATTATGGCAATCCCAACATGTAATGACAATAAAATCAAGAGGAATTAACAAATGGTATGTATTATAGAATAACATATATCAAAGAAATATAGGGCATAACTGCCACCTCAAAAATCATCACTAGTTTTACCCTGTTAACGGGAATGAAACAATGGTGCAAGGAGTTCCATTTACAAATATTATCCCTAAAATTGAACCGCATTGAATCCATCAGTGTGGCAGCATCCCATTTCCATCTATGAAAATTTTGGTGAAGTAAATAGTACTAGCTGCACTTGGTAGAAGGCATGATACTCCAATTTCCAACATAGCATGACATGGTTGATTGTTAACCTAAGAGTTACATTGGCAAATCAGATCTGTGATTTATAATATGACAACTGTGTGCATAAGGTAGAAGTTATATACAATCACATGATATCACATCTCATTTTTAACAAGTCCCATATCTAATGATTTTTACAGTTGAATCACAAAAGAGAATTAGGGTTGGTTTGGGATGTTCTAAAAAAGTGCACTTTTTGACTTATTGGCTTATATGGGTTGGGTTGGGTTTTCACTAGTTTTACCCTGTTAACGGGAATGAAACAATGGTGCAAGGAGTTCCATTTACAAATATTATCCCTAAAATTGAACCTCATTGAATCCATCAGTGTGGCAGCATCCCATTTCCATCTATGAAAATTTTGGTGAAGTAAATAGTACTAGCTGCACTTGGTAGAAGTTATAATAAGGAAGAATCCAGTAAAGTAAATGAGTATAAGAGCATACCATAAGAATCTCCAACTCCGAAATCATGTCTAATGATCCACCCTTTACTAGTTCCTAATACAATAACATCATTGCCAGCAGCCATGCATGTGATAACTCCATGCCCCTTTGCTGCATATCTCTCCAGAAGATCCACAGAAAAAACCTGCCTCCCTGTTTCCATCTTTAGAGCCAAAAATTTCAACCTAACAAGTGGTAACAACTTTTTCACTTGAAATTAGAACATTCTAAAAAATTAAAATAATGGAAAAAGTACAAGACTTTAAAAAAATGAGTCACAAAGAAAAAAACTTCAACAAATGGAATGAGTTATCAAATTTATTCACTTCCTCTATAATCTCTCATTATACTCCCAATGAGAAAGGCGCAAGTCCATAAAGAAGCGGGATACCTTAATGCTCTATTGGGTTTATTGATCATTCCTTAGGCTCCCGTACGGATTGATCATTCCCTTACAATAATGAATGACAATTTCATTTGCAATGCATTTTTCATTATTTTTTTCGTCAACCAAACATGGGAATGGACATTTTGATGGAATGAACAATCCATTCCAATGAACCAAACACTACCTAAGGCCTTGTTGGTTTGTGGTATAACTCACAGAAGTATAAGTAATACCACCTACCCCATGGTATTACTTGTACAAGACCATGAGATTATATCCCTCCCCAATCCAATGGTCATAAATAATCTTTCCATCTTATCCTAACCAAACATAATACAACTAATCCTATGGTGTATATAATCCATGGCATTACTTATCCCCACTAATCCCAACCACAATCCCATGGTATCCAATCCCCTCCTAAATTAAACGGCAATCAAACATGGCATAAATTCAACAAGTAGAAATCAAAATACTCCCTTAGTTCACTTTTTATGTGTCCAAACAAATTTCAATTTTTGGAAGTCCCACTCTATGTGTTCTAGTTTGAAAAGTCAAAAGCTTTAACCATTACTTACCTTAATACTCTTCATTAATTTATTTGTTATAACTGACCATAGATATGCTTATCACAGAAGGGAAAAAAAAAAAAAAAGTTTAGAAGCGATTGAGAACAAGAATCACAAGAATCATGGCTTGTAATGCCAACGTTGAAACCGGCCTACCTGATTGAAAAATGTGCTCATTTATGATAGTTTTAGAAAGAGAAGGGATACTGAAGAACGTGGTGAGATGAGATTTGAATAGTAAATACAGTTATAGAGAAGGGAAGTCATTGGCAAACAGAGCCTTGTTTATAATCCAATGGAGCCATTTTCTTATACTTGTTGTAAGTTGTAAACACAGTTATAGACAAGGAAAGTTACTGGCAAACAGAGCCTTATTTATGGTCCAATGGAGCCATTTTCTTATTCTTATTGTAAGTTGTAAACAATGCCATATTACATCACAAGTAACAAGATAGATTTATATTTTATATACATAATATGAATGAAAATGCATTGTGTATGCAAAATCAAGGGCACAAGGCAACCACCGAGATTTCTTATCTTCTTTATTTCTTGATAAAGATTGAGTTAGGAGTTAAAAATCATGAACACACATTTGATAAATGGATATTTTCATCTGTGTATGACAGAAGTAATTAAAGTTTTATGATGAAGGGCTCCTAAAAACCCTCAAGAAAAAATTGGGCTATAAATTGAAAATATTCAAAACGAAGGACATTTTTTTAAATCTATCATTCAAGGATGTTTTCTTAAAGTTTGTGCAAAGCCAACTAAGACATAAAATGGTATAAAGGAAGTAATATCTCTACACCCACTGAAAGGGAGAGGAAGATACAAAAAGAAAAGCAGAAAAATAAAAGGGAAAATACAAAATAAATTTTTGTTGCTTATCGGGGAAAAAAATACGAAGCAAAAAAAGGGAAAGGAAAAAATCAAAATCTTGTCACTTTTTTTTTTTAAATAAATAGCCACACATTCAAACATATCAGGAAGATCTTAGGTTTGGATATCAAAATTGCTGAAGTCCCTAATGAGATAAATGACTCAAACAATATTGTTTTAATACTTTATATGTTTGCTAATTATGTACTAGAGACCCTCTACAAAACTTCCTTTCTATTATTCCTCTTCAAGGCACCGGAAACAAATTACAAGAGATTCTACTCCAGCCACTGGAAATCAATTACAATAGATTCTACTAGCTAGTACAATTGAGTATCAATCCCAATTCAAACCTTACCATTCATCCTAATACATTAAAGGGTAGTCTAAAGTGGACAACAACAATTGTGTATCATGCATATTAAACAGCTTAACAATCTAATACAATACCAAAGACCTCCAAATAAAGCACCACACTCGAATGAAAGCAATACTTTATCCAAATTGGTTGCTCAAAATTTGGTCTTGACTCAATTCTAACAAACTGCTAACATGTAAGTGAATATGGAATCAACAATTGGAACCACCAATTGAAATCAAACAGTCAAAAAAAACAAATCACAATGATCACCAGCAGATTCAAACTCAAAAACTCGATAAATTCTACCCAAAAGGAAGTCAGCCCAAAACCTCCAAATCTGGGAACTTAGCGTGGTAACTGGGAAAATCAATCGCATGACGTAGGGACGTGATTTTCATTCTAGAACAATCGGGTGAATTAGGGTTTGGTACGGTGATGAGAAAAAAGTGAGAGTAAGGGATCAAGGGATAGTAAGTACCTTGGGGTTCGACTACTGTAGAGATGAGAGAGAAGAAACGTTGGAGGGAAACCCTAGTTCAGAGAGAGCACTCTCGATCAACTGGACCAAGACTACTCGACCTATCCGCCATTCTCACGAGCCTTCTCCTCCGCAGTGAGAGAGGTAACTCACAGCCACTGAGCCAGAGTTTGGAAGAGAGGAAAAGTTATTCAGGCGTTGTTTGGTAATTTTTTACTTTTTTATTTTTTTTCTCTTTTTGGACGTAAAATACAATACTTAAATTTTTTACTAAATAAATAATTAAATATCTCACATATTTTTAATTTTTTTATTACTTTTTAAAATTGTGCAAAAAATAATAGAGAAATAATAAATGTGTTTGGTTTGAATTTTTTGAATTAAGTTTTTTAAAAATTAAATTTTTTGATTTTCTTATTTTTTTATTTTTAGTGAATATTTTTAAAATTTTAAACATTTTTTTTATTTTTTTAGATGCACCTTATTTAGATGTATTTAAAAGTAAAAAATTTGTGAAAAAATATTTTAAAAAATAATAAATACAAAAATACAAAAAATGGAATGAAATACATAAAAATATAAAAAATATATTGAATTCTCATATTTTTTGTATTTTTCGTATTTAGTAAATTTTTAAAAGATTTTTTTTAATTTTTTTTTACATTTTAGGTATATGTATGTTAGGTATGTTTAAAAATTAAAAAAATTGCTCAAAATATTAAAAAAATTCAGTAAAAACGAAAAAACAAGGAAAATAAAAAAATAGAATTTTCTTAAAAGTATTTTTGAAAAATGATAACCAAGCATGATGTGATTCAAAAAAAAATTTAAAATGTCAATAAGTTAGCTTTTAACCTTATTGTCAAAAGAGGCCTTAATCTAATTAAAATAATTGTATTTACAAAGATAATTGACTTTTTTTATAATTGATTTGATAATTATAAACTAAAAATAAAATAATTATGATTTAGATATAACATTTTATTTTATTTATTATTTAAATTTATTTTATCTTCATTAATTATTTTAGCCTCTAACCCTCCTCCTAAGACAAATCAACAGACAAGATTAGGAATCCCCAAGTTGGGTCGGTTATTCTCTAAATTCCAATTAAAAATAATAATTTAATCATTAAACTTAAGAGGTTATTTGAAACAGGAAAAATTAGTCTAAGGTCCCTCTCCTATTTTTAGTAATGGAAGAGATCCACAATATTATTTTTTAATGTCTAAGGTCCCTTAACCCACACCTATCTATCACAGAGAAATTTGATGATATATCTCACTCTCTCTATCTATCTCCTGCTGGTTTTCTCTCTCGCTCGTCGCAGAGTTCACTCCAACCTAAACGCAGAATTCATGTGTTCTGGCGCTGGAATGGATACCACTAAAACATACGTAGCTCCAACCTGGGCACCATTGCTGGTTGTTCTAGGTAGCGATGGGGGCTCAAAAAGAAAACATGCCCAACAAAATCATGGCAGCTATCAAGAGGACAATTGGCGAGGGTAGGACGCTGGAGATGGAGGGACGACGATGGTGCAACTGTGGTTGGTGGGGCAACAACAGCGAAAGAGAGAGAAAAACAAGGGTGGTGCGACGGGATGGTGAGGGGTGGCAAGTTGCGACGGTGGCAGTAGTGTAGCAGCGGGGCGAGACAGGACGTAGGTGACGACTGAGCGGCGACGCTCCAGTGACAGCAGCAGAGGTGTCGACGATGGTCGACAGGGAGAGGTCGATGCCAATAATTGCATACCAATTGCTCTTATGATATTAAACGCTCACATTCTGCAAGAACTATCTTTGTGTGTTTGTTTGTTAATGAACACAGAAAATTTAGCTTCTAAAAATTATAGCACCTTGCTGGATGGTTGAGCAATCTTTTCTATTAGTAGTACACATAACACTTGGACCATGGAAATGTTGCAGTGATTACCAAGGTTATGCATCCAAATCACTGAAGCCATCAACCCAAGTGAATTTCTTTGGTTAGGAGGAGATTTTCTCTGGGTTTGAGTAAATTTCTCTGGGTAGAGAAGGAAATTTATCTGGTTTTGAAGAATTTCTCTGAGTTGAATGAGAATTTCTCTGAGTTGAATCCAAAGAAAAGAACTGAATTTTGTCTGAAGAGTGAAGTCCAGAGAAACTTTCAAAATTTCTCTGGAAAGTCCAGATTTTCTCTGAAGAGTGAAGTCCAGAGAAATTTTCAGAATTTCTTTGGATCAGATTTTCTTTGGGCCGAATTTTCTCTGGATCGATATTAAGGGCCCTTAAACATTATGAAAATATTGAGTGTTCTTTATGCTATAAAATCTTAATACTATTGGCCTTAAAAAAAATCCCCCTTTGAAAAATGTTAGATTAGTATAATTTATCCCCGTTCCCAATCTTTCATAACATTAACAATCACTTAGGAAATAAATTCACTAAGACCACAACTCTCCTCCATTTCCCAGATATACAACAGATGTACCTTTTCAAAACATATTTCTAAAACGTTCGATTCTGTTCACACTTTCCAAAAGAACAAAGGGGTTTCCGTTCAATCCCAATTGTATCATAACTATACATGCATACCTTTATAAAAAGGGAGATAACAACTCAACTACATGCATAAGATAAACCAATGAGGCAACTCGGCCCTCCAAAACTGTAACCAGCACAATCCACAACGTTCCCAGATACACTGAAACAATAACAACAAAACTTTGCTCTACTAGCTACGTGCGTAGTAAGCCAAAAATACACTTCTCACAACAACATACCAGTTTACCAGGCGCTAGCTGGAAGGGTGTGGTACCTTAGATTCTCAGCGCAGTCAGTTTACCAGGCGTTAGCTGGAAGGTCACGGTACCTCTGATTCTCAGCGCATTCAGTTCTCCAGGCGCTAGCTGGAAGGTAACGGTACCTCTGATATCAGCGCAGGGTATAACACCAACAATCACAATGCAACAAGGCATAACCAACATGTGTAAAACATACATATAAACTATCAGGATACCAACAATGTGTTAAGGTATATGAACATATAGGTGTGTGGAGTCCATCTCCTATCTTCTCACACACACTGGAGTACAACCCCTCTCTCCTCCCTAACAAGTATACATATATAATGCATCTCAACATTTCATCACATAAGATGTTTAATCAACAATGGTGTAATGTATACACGACAATTCAACGCAACCGTGACATCCTCCACCGATGACCAAGGACAAAACCTCTAGATGTAAATATTTAGTACATCCATTAAAGACTCAATTGCTATGAGACCATAAACCCACCAATAACACTAACACGGTAGTTAAAGATACAACCCCCACGTGTGTGTGTTTAACACTCAAGAAACACAATCCAATTTTCATACTTATCAAAGATACTTTTCTCATTTCATAAAACAAATTCCGTTTCCCTTTTGTTTTCACAAAACCAACCCCATCCCTTTTGTTTTACAAAACTAATTCCGTTGATAATAGAGCCATAACTCACACTAATCCACTACATTTATTTTAAAACCATTACGAAAAACCAAAGTTAACCCCTTAGGCATTAACACCTTCACCCAACTCGCATTAACAATAGAGATTTACAACATAGGTTAACTACCCTCCATTTTAATTTACCAAATCAAAATATAATTTAGGGCTTTTTCTTCTTTCAACTATAACATGCTAATTTACACTCCAATTAGCCCAAGACAACCATCAATGATAAAATAACCATTTTCAAACAACTAACCCTAGGTTCCTTCTCATGATTTCAAACAAATCCAACATGGATATGATTTTCATGCAATACAAAACTACCACATGTCTATCTATAGACGAAGTATTGAAAAAGAACAAGGAAATCCCTACCTCAAGCTTAGGAGAGGAAACCACCCAAAAATCACCGGCGACGAAACCACGAACCACTCAGACCAAAAGGAAGTCCTTGACGAGATCTACAATCCATCTCAAAGGACCATGGTGAAAAGATCACTCTAGGTGAGTAGAAAATACCTTTTGAGAGAGAGAGAAGGTGTTTCACGGTTTAGAGAGAGGAAAGGGAAGAAAAAGTGAGAGAAGAGGTCAAGTGAGGGCCTTTATATAGTACTAGGTCAAAAATAGATATAAGCCCCAAAGTCAACTCAAAATATCTAGTCAAAATATCCCCAAAAAGTAGGTCCAAACCGTGAGAAAAATCTGGGAAAAAGTCGCAGGTGTCGACCCCTGCAACAGTGGTGTCGACACCAAAGAGGAAAAAAAATCTGAGAAAGCTTTGACTGCACTGCAGGTGTCGACACCACCCTAGACTGGTGTCTACCCTATCTTTCAGCAACCAACACACAGACAGAAGAGGGTCGACACCATTCCAGACTGGTGTCTACCCTATCTTCCAGCAACCAACACACAAACAGAAGAGGGTCGACACCATCCAAAACTGGTGTCTACCCTATGTTCCAGCAACACCTCCAGAACTTCATCAACAGGTAAGGGTCGATCCTAGGAAGGCTGGTGTCGACTCTAGAATGTAATTTCTAAGTCTCCAAGGAACTTTTGACAAGAATAAGTGTGAACAACCAAACCCAATAAGTTTAAATCAATTTGTACCCCTCCAAAACTAAAGTGCAACAACACCAAAGGTTCTCAAAACATAATACATGATTCGAATACACTTCCCAAAAGTTTTAAAAGGGCTCAAGTGCTACAAATTTCTTTGGTTAGGGGGAGATTTTCTCTGGGTTTGAGTAAATTTCTCTGGGTGGAGAAGGAAATTTATCTGGTTTTGAAGAATTTCTCTGAGTTGAATGAGAATTTCTCTGAGTTGAATCCAAAGAAAAAAACCGAATTTTGTCTGAAGAGTGAAGTCCAGAGAAACTTTCAAAATTTCTCTTGACAGTCTGGATTTTCTCTAAAGAGTGAAGTCCAGAGAAATTTTCAGAATTTCTCTGGATCATATTTTCTCTGGGCCGAATTTTCTCTGGATTGATGTTAAGGGACCTTAGACATTATGAAAATATTGAGTGTTCTTTATTCTATAAAATTTTAATACGACGGACCTTAAAAAAAATCCCCCTTTGAAAAATGTTAGATTAGTATAATTTTTAATTTTTTACAAAAAATATATGAAATATAGGTTTGGGTTGAAGTAATGTAGTAAGGAAGTGATGTCACCTAAATAAAATAATTATAATCCAAATAAAATAATGTATGCCAAACAAACA